TTCTCCCCTTCCTATCTACTTCAGCAATGCATTTAAGGGGCTACATCTCTATTGTTCATGAGCATCATTGGTTAATTTAATATTATATTTTTTATGATTATATATATAATAACGGGTTGGAGATGTCAAATCATGTTGGTATACGCTCATAGATGTACAACTATGATGATTTTATTCTCTTTTATGATATTATTCAGTATTATATATTACAACTCAATTTTCTCAGATATCTCTAAGCTATACAAAACTTATACATCATAAACTAGGTATTAACTATAATAATTTCTTCATGGAAAAACCTTGCTAGATTTTTATGATCATAGCTCTTAAAATTATCAATTTTAAAAATATATTTCAAGACCCTATGAAGCCTATATTGCCTTATTCTTCTCATTAAAGTTTTTTCGTTAATACAATATGACAATATTTTCATTTTATATTATGATATCTATCAAAGTCATATGTAATCTAAATATTTAATTTTTTAAAATGTCATGTAATCAAGGCCGTATCAAGTCTTATATGTGTACTGATCACAAGATTATATAAGAGGACTCGACTAATTTTTATGGAGGACCATCATCGTTAAAAAAAGGAGAGAAATTATTTAGACCTCATATTATTTTGATGAGTACAAATATTATAATCATAGTTGCAGGATAATCATTTGACTTTAAGTTTATGAGTTAACTTCTCTTATTAAAAAAAAGAAAGAGATGTTAATTAAGATTTGTCCCAAGTAGAAGGCCTTTTAATTAATATTCTACATTTGTTTTTAAGCTCATGATGTAAGCACAACTAAGGCTTCGTTTGGGACGACTTTTTTATTGCTTTCTAAAACGGAGTTTTAATACAAATTTTTTTATTTTTGTACTAAAACTCTGTTTTAGAAAGCAATAAAAAAGCCGTCCCAAACTAAGCCTAAATTTGCTTGGTCACATAAGTTGGATAAATAACTTCTCTATTTATCCCACGTGACAACTTCTCATATAGAGAAACAACAATTTTGGGAATATCCTTCTTTTTATAACAATATACCTCTATAATATCTCCAAATTATTTGAAGGACCAACTATTTACTAATCGTACAGTCATTGGATGATTACCACATAATGCATGACTCACATGGACTATATCCTCAGTTATTGTCTAAACTTATCGTTTCTGGCCTACACGCCACTCTCCACACCCACATTGATACTCCAACTATAAATGCCTACTATTTGGCCTCCAAGAGAGAGACTATTTGACTTTTAGCATATTTGTTAAGAATAAACTTTGTATTTTTGTAACATGAGTGGAATTCAGAGGAGGGATGGATATACGGGCCAATATGTTCTTCTTTATTGATTATAGTGAAAATGCACACCCCCTTTTAATAGTGCACGCAAGTCGATAATTCTAAACCACTTAAATTATTTGATTGTAGTCTCTTATATTATCACTTTTTGTCACCTTTTCTTTAACTTTCTGACATGTCGGACTCTACTCGTCGATAAGAAGAAAATCAACTTCTATGCTCACCCCTCCCCCTCTTCCACTTTAGTGAAGAACAGGCAAGAACTTATTCTACCTCATTCATTAATTCAAGCAAATTTTTTGCTGCAAAAGATATGGAACCTCTGCCTTAACTTGGTGAATTAGACAGCTTGATTTGAATCACCTAGAGGTCATTGGACACAAATTAGTTCACTAGATATATATATCTCTCAAGTTTCAAAGGCTCTAAAATGTACTCCACTCTTCAACTCATATTGAACACATTGAACCACTCAACAAATCGAAATCAGCCCTAATTTGTGCATCAAATATAAGGCACATGAAAAATTGAAAATTGTTTTAATATAGTAAATTGCTCAAATAACTAGGTAGATTTACCAAACTACCCTTCAAAAAATTATTAAAAAAATACGTTCAAACATTTTAAAATTATCTAAAAAATGTGAGGTAGATTTCCCATAGTTTATCGGAAGTTACTATACCTTTGTCTAAGTATAATGGAGTAATAGCGCAAAATTAAATTAAATTTAATCTGATTAAAAATATATAAGCCATTACGTACATAAACCTTTAAAAAATAGAAAAAAACTAAAGTATGCCTCCATAGATCGATGGAGGATTCAATATCGTTATTTTACTATATTGAGTTCATAGAATGATAAAATTACCAAACTACCATTAAAAATAAATTAAATTTAATCTGATTAAAAATATATAAGCCATTACGTGCATAAACCTTTAAAAAATAGAAAAAACTAAAGTATGCCTCCATAGATCGATGGAGGGTTCAATATCGTTATTTTACTATATTGACTCCATAGAATGATAAAATTACCAAACTACCATTAAAAAGCATAAATTCATTAAATCTATTGAAATATTTAAAAATAATAAAATTGAGGTTAACCTCCTTTTCAAGTTCATAGAGCGTAAATTATCTCCATTTTGCTATAATAGAATACACCATGATAAATTACCAAAGTTCTCCAATACTAAAAGGTCCAAAAATATTTAATAAATTTTAATATATATATATATGAAAAATTTACATACATACCATTTTATAACATTCTATTTACATATCTAACACTCAAAACTTTAATATTACATGCATATCACCCTATATTATTTTAATATCAAATATACCACTCATATATTTCATTTATACTACTCCTGATAAAAAACTGAACTATGGGTGATATGTATGTAATATTAAAATTTTATGTGTTAAATATGTAAATAGGATAGTATTAAGTGTTATGTATGTAAATCTCCCTATAGAGAGAGAGAGAGAGAGGGTCCACCTTTGTGAGCAACATAAAGAATGTGAGAATTCTAATATGATATCTTAACAACTAGGTCAAATCACATAGTTTCCCAAATTAAATATTCTATTAATATTTAAAAAAAAAAGTAAATGTAAAACATTGGGCTCCTTCAATATATATACCTAAGTCAGATGTAATCAATTTTGGACTACATGAAACTTTTAAAATTACGTGGCAACATTACCCAATTTTTGAAAAGCATGCATAATTAAGTTTACTCAATTTATATCCCATAGAGCAATAAGAGGAAAGCATCCCTCACCTTAAGAAAAACAAAAAAAACAAACATAATCACAATTCAATTAAGGTGCTTTCGAAGGCCTCATAAACTAGGCATTATGGTTCACTAATTTGCACAAAGTTCCTCAAGAATCAGTCTTCGTTTGGGACGATTTTATTACTGCTTCTTAAAATATTTTTTTAGTATAAAAATTATTTTAAAAAATAATAAGAAAGCCGTCACAAACAAAACCTTATGTCCTTCACTATGGACTTATGCATGCATTCTTAGGGATGCCCTAAATATTTCTGTTGGCCTTCATTTCACTGAATTGTGAACCCCAGCTTTCCAATATTGGAAATCATTCTCTTTTCTGAAATGCGCCATCATTGAAAGTAGATACTCACTTTACTCATGTACTTAACTTACATCATCAAGTAAGTCGAACTGAAACTCAGAACTTGAGCTAACCAAGGGATCCCATTTAAGTTGACTAATCTATACACAATAAACCCTATGACATGAAGATGTGAACCTCAAGCACCAAGGATTAGCCCTCAAACATCAGAGATTATTACATGCGGAGTCCAGACGCATCTGAAGGCCAATCCGGACGCGCCACATCACCCAATGCATTGTTTATTGGGTGACATGGCGCATCCGGATTAGCCTCTGGAGGCATCCGAACATCGCACGTAATAATTTTTCCTCAAACACTAGGCCAAATATTTGATATGATCTATAACCACAAGTGTCTTATAACACTGATCCATATCTCACTTATATGCTTTTTAAGGTTAAACTTAGTTCACCCATGGATAGTTAGAATGACCATTCCATGCCCTTCAGAAAGGGATAATCATGTAGTCTTGTACTGATGCCTCTAATTACACTCAACCATGCTTCATACCTCAAAGAAAGTCTTAACATGAAAGCAACCACCTCATTGTAAGAGGACAAATATCATTTTGTATACCTTATTATGTTAAAAATCAAAGAGGAGATAACTTATGGTTACTAATTAAACTCCTAGAAGATATGACCTCCTAATCCATTGTTGTTGGTAAATTAAACCCCTTAGATCTACTTGATGTGATGGAATCATGAGATCTTTTACTCTTGTTGAATGTTCATTTTCATCCATTCCTCAAAATAATTCTAAAATCTTAACCAACATTTAAGAAGTTAATATCCTTAATGGAGTGTTCAAAAGCATTATGGGGAAAAAAACTAGTTAGCACAATCTGACTATTAAACTCAATCATGCAAAATATCCCTTCCTAAAACTCCCAAAAAGTGAAAAAGGATGATTTGCCTAACTCAAGAGCATTATCAGAGTCAATAAATCCTTAGCCAATAGGAAAAAAAATTAGATATGCACAGCCTCATCATTTGAATCCAAGGAAAATAGGCATTTGTGAAAAAGGTTGGTCTCCCCAAAAAAAAGAGTTGAATGATGAATATAGAGTGTAATGAGGTGAAGTGTAGAGAAAGCCATAAATTGGAGAATATTGAAGACTCTAAGATTGTCACAACCTCAAGCTTGCACGATCAAGTCCAATCCAACCAAATGCCAATTTATGTTTGATTGAAACAAAGTGCAACTAACCAATCAGACTCTCGAGTACAAAACAAGCGAAAGAATCAATAACTTGAAAGAGAAACTAAAACCCCTACTCCCCACTAGAAAGGACCCATGATTCCTTAACTCCATTCTTCTCAACATATAAAGGCTAAGGCTTTGTTTGGGATGACTTTCTTACTGTTTCTTAAAACAACTTTTTAGTTCAAAAAATAAAACTTATCAATTAGAAAGCTGCTTTAAGAAGCAGTAAGAAAGCCGCCCCAAACGAAGCCTAAAGCTTGGCACATAATCAACTATGTATATGCATGAGACGCTTATAATAAAGTCATTTTCTAACAATAAGAGAAGTGATCTCGTCCAAGTCAAATAACACAAAAATAGCGTAATCAGGGGAATAATGACACCAAAATATAGATGAGAGTATTTTAGTCAACCTTAAAACGTTACCTATCATTTACAGCTACTTTAGCAGATCATAAAAGGCAAATATCAACATAGAAGAAAACTAAGTCCAGATTATACTAATTCATTTCGACAGATCTGATCCAAGCATTCTAAACTAACAAGTCCACAAGAAAAGGTCAGCTCACATTGAAACTTCTTACTCGTAAAACCTTATATTTCAGCTCACCAAATTTAAGGCTTTGTTTGAAGCTTTTTGCACCCCGACCTTGACACCTCTTGTCTCGCCAATGGAGGCAACTGCCAAAATGAAACTAATTTGTTTAACTTATAATTCCATGAAAGTAATAGCAAGAAGAAGCATAATCCATTGATGCAATTCTATAAGCTGGCTAAACTTGAACAGCCAAACTACCAAGTACATTAATTAGATCATACGCTACTTTCATGCAGACAAATGAAACAATTATAAGAATCAACATATTCTTAATCATGCCAACTAAAATATAATTAACATCATCATTAGTCTAATCCCTACCTTTTAGGCTCGGTAACATATCTTGACATCTGCTTTGGTCGCATTCAGGTTACCTAGTAGCAATAAAAGTTGATGTAATGTACTTTTAAAGCGCCATAATATTTTCTTACCTGACATTACTCTTGGAGCATTTTGACATTTAAACCCCTTTAACTAGAAAATTTGTGTTCAACTACATACCATTCTTTGTATAATATATCCAACATACTTGTTTTTGCAATTTTTACATGATCCTCCAATATATTAATTGATAAACATCAATTACAAGTTCACTAAAATTTACCATCATTATTCTCCATTAAGCAGCTTATTTTGCAAACTTACAAAGTAATCAAATTTCACTAACCAAGGAAGAGAACTCATCTATTAAGCTATGCCCTCAATGCATGGCAAACTATAAGGCGTTTAAGTTAGGCGTCTATAATGATTTTTTTTAAGCGTCTATTATGAATTAGATTGGTTAATGGATCATTGTGAGTAATTGAGTTCATAGATAATTATGGGCATTAAGGGCTCAATAGGTAGATTAAAAAATGTTATATTGTTCTATATTGCAATAAAATACCCCTTTCACAATTCATTAGGGCATCAATGAAATGAACAATCTGATATGCCAAGGGGGGGCCCTTGTGGGGCCCAAGGGAGCTATTATTCATTATATAAGGTGGAATCAAGAGAGAGTTATTTACGAAGATTTCCTAATTGTGTTTGTGTTGCTTAGGAAAGTTTTAATTATTTAGGAAGGTTTCCTAATTGTGTTTATGCAATTTAGGAATGTTTCAATTATGTTTATTATGTGCGGGGGCTATTTAAATGGGAGTTTTGTCTAGGGTTAGGATCTTTTGTTAGTTGAATTTTATTTCTAGGGTTTTCCCAAGGTTCCTAGTGGCGGCTCGGATTTGTGGAGAGTTGATCTACCTCTCGAATAGTCGATCAATTGTATCTTGTATTATTATTGAATGAGAAATAAAATATCATCCCTATCTTTTTATTCCTGCATTTTTTTTTCTTCTCATCTACAACTTGTTTTACTTCCAAGACGGATAAAATTGGTATCAAAGTGAGTTTTTGGAGAGATGGCAGCAAAGAAGGTGGATGCATTGCTAGGGCAAGGTGGAGCAAATCAAATTCGGGATAGAGGAAAAGTTCTCAACCATCAAAGGAAGGTTTTCAACCATAGAAAATCGGATGGAGAGCTCATTTGAAGGCTTGGAGGAGATGATGAGGAAGCTCATGAAGATACAATAAAAAACTCCATCGACAGTCCTTATTACTAACCCTAACCAAGATTTGATCAGAATTCCCGTGGCTGAATCTAAGGGAAATGAGATCGAACAGGTGGAGTTCGACGAGGAGAGTTTATTTTATCAAGAGACACCTCTTACGGCTCCGATACGGAGCATATCAAGGTTCCCGGATAATGGGACAACAAGGAGATATTTTTTGGTGGAGATTGTACAGTGGACGACCATTATGAGAGGTATTTCGAGAGCAAGGGGAATGGGATACCGGGGATGGAGGTGGTCGAGGCGATACATAGAGATTGGCTCATGCAAGGAAGAGGGAAGAAAGGTGAGATTCCCACCCCCGAGACACGAGGGGAACCGTTGGAGGGAGGGATAGTTGGAGGTAGATACTAGGGTGAGGAAGTTAAAGATGCTGATATTTGAAAAGGATGATGCCCATGGCTAGGTGGAGAGGTATTTCGCGGTTAATGATTTGAATAAAGAGGAGAAGCTTAAGGTCGCAGGGCTATGTATGGAGGGGAAGCCCTAGCTTGGTTCTAGGGGAGTGACGCCAGATATTCAATCCAATCTTGGGAGGAATTTAAAGATTGCTAGTTGGAACGTTTTCGAGCCACTCGGAAAGGAGATCTGCACGAGCAATCCTTTGCCTTGACTCTGGAGGGGACCATCATAGAGTATAGGGAGAGATTTGAGTTGTTGTTAGGGTAGTTGAGAGGGATTTGTAGGCAATGATGGAGAGAAATTTCATGAAGGGCCCAAAGCCCGACATACGGCCATATCTTCGGTTGTTGAGATCAAGGGGGTTGAGGGAGAGATGAAGCTAGCCAAGATAGTGGAGGATCGGAGACTAGTAGAAAAGACCAGGAGGTGCGGAGTTAGAGGAGGATCCTATAAGAGTACCTCAACTACATTGGTATCGAGGACCCAGACAGTCTCTTTTCAACGGCAGGCACTGAGGGAAAAGTGTGGGGAGTTCGCCATGAGCCAACTTTAAGCACCTCCCAGTAGCAAAGGTGCGGGACAAAAGAGCGAAGGGTTTGTGCTTCTAATGTGATAAGAAGTATGCACCTAGCCATCGGTTCAAGCATCGCACACTCCAGGTCCTTATGATCTGTAATGAGGAGACTGACAGCAAGTAGTCGGGTGGGAAAGAAGAAGAGGGAGGAGTGCAAAAGAGTGTCCCTGAACTCAATGGTGGGATTTACTCCAAATCACACCATGATAGTAAAGGGACATTAGGGAGCGGCCAATGGTGATCTTGATTGATAGCAGGGCTGCTCACAACTTCATCTCAAATTAGATCGTGGACCAGTTGGGTTTGGAGTTGGCAGATAGAAAGAGCTTTGGAGTAATGATGAGAACAGGGAAGGTGGAGCGAGTAAAGGGATTTGCAGAAGGTTGGCACTGACACTCTAGGACATACAAATAGTGGAGAATTTTCTTCCCTTCGATTTGGGGAGCACTGATGTGATCCTAGGAATGAAATGGTTACAGACGATAGGGAAAACGTAAGTGAATTGGAAATCTTTAACTATGGAGATTCATGTGGAAGGGAAGAGGGTGGTGCTGCAAATAGATGTCAACCCGTGCAGAACCACGGTTTCACTTAAAACCATGGTCAAGACAAGACAGGGAGACGGGATGGGCTACTTGGTGGAGCTGCAAAGCCTAGAGGTCATAGATTCAAAGCCAGCTAAGAACCCTGAGTGTGTACAACATCTCTTACAGCAGTTCCTAATATTTTTCAACAGCCTAGCAGGTTATCGCTACCCCGGGAGCACGAGCACACCATTACCTTGAAGGAAGGGGTTTCTCCTATCAGTGTTCGATCGTATTGTACCCCCAGATTCAGAAGGATAAGATAGAGAGGTTCATCAGAGAGATGCTGGAGGCAAGAATTATCAGACCCAGTGTGAGCCCTTTTTCCAGCCCAATTTTGCTGGTTTAAAAAAAAGGACGATAGTTGGAGGTTTTGTGTAGATTATCAGGCCTTAAACAAGGAAACTTTGCTAGACAAGTTTCTTATCCCCGTGATTAATGAATTGTTGGATGAGCTGTTTGGTGCGGTCATCTTTAACCTCGAAGGTTGACCTGAAGTTAGGGTACTACAAATCTGAATGAAGTAGGGGGATATGCACAATATAGCTTTCAGGACTCAGGAGGGTCACTACGAGTTTTTGGTAATGTCTTTCGGCCTTACCAATGCTCCAGCCATTTTTCAGTCCCATATGAACCGGGTATTTCAATCCTACCTCAAGAAATTTGTGCTGATATTTTTTACGACATCCTTATCTACAGTCTTACAGAGGCAAAGCATGTTTGTCATCTAAGGACTATATTGGAGACTTTGGGGGCACTAACTGTATGCCAATCTGAAGAAATGTTCCTTTGCACAGGCACATATGGAGTACCTATGACATATGGTAGGTAGAAAACGAGAAGCAACAGAGAAGTCCAAGATCCAGGCTATGTTAGATCGCATAGGATACTATTGGAAGTTTGTATAGAGGTATGACAAGATAGCATGGCCACTGACAGAGCAGTTGAAGGACAATTTCAATTAAGGAGAAGCAACAACACAAACCTTCGAACAATTACATAAGGCCATGACCAGCATGTCAATATTAGCAGTTTTTTTAATTCAGTAGGTCATTTGTGGTGGAGACAGATAGATCAAGATATGGAGTAGGGGCAGTACTCAAGCATGATCATCATCCCATTGCTTATTTCATCTAGGTGCTCATGACTAGGGCGAGGCTCAAGTCCGTATACGAGCGGGAGTTGATGGCGATTGTCTAAGCCATCCAAAAGTAACGACACTATTTGTTGCGGCAACACTATCATCTAGACGGATCAGAGGAGTATGAAGTTTATGTTGGAGCAGAGGATGGTGACTGAGGAGCATCAAAGGTTATCATCCAAGTTACTTTATGATTTGAGATCTAGTATCGCCTGAGATCTAGTATCGCCCAGGACTAGAGAACAAGGCCGTGAATGTACAATTGAGGAAGACAAACAAGCCACAACTAACAAATCTATCAGTACCAATGGTTCTACACATCGAAGCCCTGAGACAGAAGAGCAAACAAGATAAGGGTCTCAGAAAGATTATAGCTAAGTTGTTGCAGGACCCAGACATCATCCCGGTTACACGCTGAGGGGGCCCCAGCTACTACATAAGGGGTTATTCGTCTTACCAAGGACATTGGGATACATTCCCAAACTATTACAGGGAGTTTCATGGCAATGCAGTTGCAGGACACTTAGCAGTTTAGAAAACCTACAATCAGTAATCCGCGAAGTAATATTGGGCAGGGATGCGCCGAGATGTAAAGAATTGGGTTGCGAGATGTAATATGCGCCAGTAGCACAAGTACTTGGCCATGACACCGAGAGGATTACTATAGCCTCTAACTCTGTTAAAGAGGGGGTGTGAGAAGGAGATGATGGACTTCATCGAGGGGTTACTGCGTTTAGAAGAATTTTTTGTGATACTTGTAGTAGTGGATAGTCTG